CATGCCACGGAGCAGCTAAGTCCATATGCCACAACTACTGAGCCTGCACTTGAGAGCCCGTGAGCCACAACTACTGAAGCCCGTGTGCCTAGAGCCTGTGCTCCACAACAAGAGAAGCCACCACAATGAGAAGCCCACGCACCACAACGAAGAGTAGCCCCTGCTCGCCACAACTAGAGAAAGCCCACGTGCAGCAATGAAGACCCAATGCAGCCAAAAATAAATTTAAAAATATATATACAATTGTCAGATGTAGGTAGCTTTCCTGGAAATATAGAGGAAACAGAAAGGTGGCAATAAGTAGCATTCACTGAGCCTGAATTGTGTGTCAATGCTATGCTGGGAACATTTTAAATTAACATATGATGAAATTAACTGTGGTGGAGGGCACAGGGGGAATATGGTCCTATGAGTTTTGGTACCTATGTAGATTCTTATAACTGCCCCACAATCCAGACATGGGACAGTTCCATTACCAAAAACACACTCCCTCATGCTGCCCCTTTGTAATCAAACCCTCCCCACACCCCTAACCCCTGGTAACCACTGATCTGGCCTCCATCCCTATAGATTTGCCTTTCTTAGAATGTCATTAGATGTTATCATATAGTATGTAACTATCTGAGATGGTTTCCTTCACTCAGAGTAATGCCTTTGAGATTCATCTATGCTGTGTACATCAACAGTTCATTCCTCTTATTGCTGAGTAGTTTTCTATAGTTTGTTTTATCCATTCACACACTGAAGGACATCTGATTTGTGTCCAGTTTTTGGTGATAATGAGTAAAGCTGTTATAAACATTTGTGTACAGTTTTTAATACAAATATAAATTTTCTCTTATCTATCAGGGTAAATACCTAGAAGTAGAACTGCTGAGATATGTATTAAATTGTGTTCGGCTTTATAAGAAACTCTGTAAGAGTTCTAGTGGCTCTTCCTCCTCACATGGTACTTGGTTTTGACTACTTTTTAATTTTACCCATCCAAATAGGTGTATAGTGATATCTCATTGTGGGTTGTTTTTTTTTTTTTTTGGCTGCACCGGGTCTTAGTTGCAGCATGCGTGTTCTTTAGTTGTGGCATGCAAACTTTCAGTTGAGGCATGCATGAGGGATCTAGTTCCCCAGCCAGGGATCGAACCCAGGCCCCCTGCATTGGGAGCACAGAGTCTTACCCACTGGACCACCAAGGAAGTCCCTCAATGTGGTTTTAATTTGTACATCCCTAATAGCTAATGATATTGAGCATTTTTTCATACGCTTATTTGCCATGCATACATCTTCTCTGATGAAGTGTCTGCTCAAATCTTGTCTCATTTTTTATTGAGTTGCTTGCTTTCTATTGATGAGTTTTGAGAGTTCTTTATTTGGGCTGGGAACTTTTAACAGCACTTTTCTCACTTAATCCTGATAGCAACGCTGCAAGGGTAGGAATCATTAACCACCATTTTACCCTGAGAAAACCAAAGGGAAGTCACTAAGCTACTATAACCTGATCACAGTTCTGCCTAATTTCAAAGTTTACTTATCACTTAATCACCTATGACATACGTATTACTAGAATGCAAGCTCTAGTAAAGCAGGGATCTTATCTGCTTTGTTCATCATGGAATCTATAGCCCTTCAACAGTGCCTCACACATAACAGGTATTCAATAAGAATTTGTTTAATGGCTGAACAAATGTCCTTTATTTTCCACGTAGGCTCCACAGAAGAAAATAAAACTGCTCTCAAACTGTCTGGTCCAGTCAAGGGGACAGTGGTTTTAGGAAGGCTCTTGTCTGCCCGCCTCAGACTATCAGGACAGGCTGAAGTGCCATCCCACTGCTGCAAATCCTTTGCCCAGAGGCAGTATCCCTACCAAAGGTCTCAGTAGAACACAGGTCATGAATTCCCACACTGCCAGGCTGGTAGAACTCCCTGTCAGCTTTGCAAGGAGGACACCAGCACCAATAGTGCCATCTTGCTCATCTGAAGGGCCCACAATCCATAGCCTCTGCTACCTAGGACAAAAGCAAGCAAAGATGACACTTGAGAAGTCAAATTGGCTTCCCCCCACACAAATGACTATATATTGTCTATAAAAGGGCTGCTGAGTCTCAGTTTACCAAAAGTCTAATTTCATAGCTTACAGCAGAGATAGAAAGATCAGAAATGAGAATGAATCAAAGAAGAGATAGAAAACTATAAAAAGAAATCACAACAATGCATACAGGAATGTAAGCACTGGGGTAACAGTGCAAGAAGCCCTGAAGACATGCTTTGAATAATCCAAAGAAAGTAACAATCTGTTCACAGTAATCTGTAAGAAGGAAAACTTACTTCGAAAATGGCTAAGAGTTTTAAATATCTAGAAATGAGGTTATAGTTCAGTTATCTGAAAAACTTACCGATATGAGGCTGAATAAATGAGGCCTTAATAGAGTATCCCAGCAGACTTCTTCTAGGGTCCTTGGGTAATCAGCAATTCTTTTAAGCAGGACATAAAAATCTCAGGTCCTTGATGGCCAGCACAACCAGGGTTTCATCTCTGGTGTCTCAGCATCCATAATCTAATATTCCAAGCTCTGAGCTGCCCACCCAATGGTCTAGTTAGATCATGAACTCCATATATGTTGAGACTGACTTAAACACACACACTTTGCTACCATGACTTTCTCTTTCAAAGAGAAAGTAGCTTGTGAATGATCATGAGACCCCAGGCTGGCAGGCCCCTCTGCCCACCAGAGGCCTAGACTGTAGGGAGAGCAGCTGAAGCCAAGGCAGGCAGAAGCTACACTGAAAAAGAACAGCTCACCACTGGCACAGGGAAAAGCAGGGTGACAGCTTTTGTGTTATTTTAGAACAGTTTGTGCTGATGAGCTTTTTGTTGTGGTACATTCCTCTAAAAAGAACATTTTCTTCCTCCCTTCATTGACAAAGTAATTCAGCAGAAAGTGAAAAAAGAAGGAGGAGCGGATGACAAAGATATCCAGGAATTTGTGGATCTTGGATCGTATCACCTTCTTGACTGTGGTGCCACGCATCTCCCAGTCCTGTGGTCAGGAAACCTCTAGGCCTCCCTCACCACCAGGAACATGGCTCTATTCCCAGCACAGACAAATAAAATGTGGGTCCTCTGAGGGTCAGTGACACATCTAGATGTGACCAAAAGTTCGGATACTTTCATCATGGCTGTTGGCCTTGCTTAAGAACCTACAGCTGCCAGGTTCAGCAAGTATACATATCTCAGCCTGGTTGCCTGGGCCCCCTTTCCTTGCCAGGCTTTTGTCCTGCAGTTTTCTCCCACAGTCACTCTGTGTGACCAAACCTACCCTCCACGCTTCTTACTACCTCCACATCTTTGCTCACACTGTTTCCTGCTGTTCAGGCTGCCCCACCCCTTCCACTCTCTCCCAATTCTATGTTTCCTCCAGGAAGTCTATTTTTCTCCTCTTATAAGTTCCTTAGACATTATCTAGTTCAACCTGATACAAGGATCCCCTCTGCTGACCAATCAGTGGAGTGCTGTGTTCTACTTTCCCATCTTCAGTGACAGGGAGTTCAGTACCTACCTACCAAGGAAGCCTCTTCTATGACGAGATAGCACTGTGAGATGATTCTTTATTCCAGAAGAATATGCCTATATTTTACTTTCCCCACAGTGGTCCTGGTTCTGCCCTTAGCATAAGAGAAACAATACTGCAGTACTTAACAGCATAGGCTTTGAAATCAGATCTGTTCTCCTACCCAGCGTGTCCTTGAACAAAATGCTTAACCTTTCCAAAGTTCCAGTCCTTGATGGTAATACCAACTTCCTAAGGCTACCAACAAAGTTAAAAAAGTAACTATGCAAAGAGCTTAACACTGTGCCTGGCACAGAGTAAGGATTTCACTGTTATCATCGCCATCATTTAAGTCTGATTCCTCTACTTCGATTGCATTTGAAGATAGAAATTGTATTATCTGAATCTTTTCTTTTCCAGGCTAAAGTTTCTTCACTAGACTGTAAATTATATGAGGACAGATGTATCTCTATGTAATTATGTGTATTTGCTGCCACATCTCCACGTCTAGAACAGTGCCTGGCACACATATAATAGTTATAAACACTGAATTGTATTGAATGCCGTCCGTTTCAGAGTTTCCATACCCTTCATCATTCATGTCACTCCTCTCTTTCACTGTTTCAAATGTTTTTGGCAACGTGAAATCCAAAGTTGAATTCACAACTTAAAGGTGGGCTAACCAGAGGAGGAGAGACTAGATTGGCCCCTCCCTCATGATATACACCATATCGCTACTAAAAGCTGGCATAACTTGCCAGCTTCACCCCATTGCTGGCTCAAGTGGAGCTTGAAAACAACTGAAGCTTTTCAATCTTTTGACACATGATGACTTTGGGCTCTGGGCTCTGTGGAATTGGAGCTGCAGTCACGCCAAACGGTGAAACAATAACAGAGCTATTTCCACCTAGAGATTCCTCTCGCTCTTACTATCTGGACCACTCAACTGGATCCCAGCAACTGCAGCCTGGAATTCAGAATGATCTTTCTAGGAACCTTTGTTTCTTCCTCACAAATAGAGTATACGCTTCCAAAGGACAAGATCTGACTGTCTTGCCTTCTCTTCCACATGCCAGCACAGGGCTGAGCACAGAGTAAGGACAGATGGATGCCCTCCATCTACAGCTGGATTACAGCAAGGATTCAGGGAAACTGTACAGACGAGCCTCAGGGCTCCCTCTCCTCTCAAACAGCACAGCTCGGTCAGTGTTGTGCTTCTAGCCGGTAGGCAAACAGGAGCCAGTCCAGGCACAGGCACAGATGTTAAGGCCTGCACTCTGGCAGGCCGGCTCCTAGAGGCTGCTCTGCTGAGAATCACCTTCCCTGACAAGGATGCATTCCTAGAGGACAAGCCAATATCAAGAACACCTCTCCTCAGGGAACAGCCTGTCTAGACAGCTTCAGGGACTGTTCACACAGGAGGAGAAGAGAGCCACACAGGGTGAGGGAGCTCACCTCATCACTTTCTTCCACATCCACGTCACCATTGGCATCATCATCCATCAGCTTGTGGATGCTGCGGACTGCATCAAAGCTGAGCTTCTCATCCTCACTGTGGCACAGGGGCTTGTCAATCCGGCAAAACTCTGTACAGGAAAAGCAAGAGACAACATTACTGGGGGCTGCCACCCAGCTCTATTACCTACCTGTCTCACAGTCCCTGGCTTCTAGCACCTGACTCCTCACACAGCCACTTAACAGACTATTTGTACAGTGATAGAAGTATTTCATATTAACTGTCTTCCCTATTTAGGGTCAATGCTTTATTATCCTAATAGTTCCTTGGCAGGGAAGTCAAGCATAGGACTAGGAATACACTGGGATCTACACAAAGAACATGCATAAATAACTCACAAGGAAAAAATATACAAGTGAGAGAAAATACAAATAGCTGATGAACACAGGGAAAGGTCTTACTAGTAATCAGAGAAATACATATTCAAATGAAACATCATCTTTAGTCAATAAATAAATGTGAATTAATACAATCTTTCTAGAAATAGGAAAACAGGCCATTTGTTCCAAGGCCAGAGTACTACGTAGTTTCCTTTTTGTTCACTTTGTCACTGCCTGTACATATAATGCCAGCCACAGGCTAACTGAGGAAACCCTTCACATCTTATGCCTTCTCCAGGACAGCTACATTCAGCAAGCATGGAGGTCTGGAGTGAAACTTCCTTCACCCACCACCATACAGTCATACAGCAATAAAACCAGCACAAGAGCCTAGCCCACCCAGTCTCTTTCATGACACCTAATCCTCTCTTACGAACCTGGAAAACACCTAGCCTGATCAAGGCACATAGCAGAAAGAGCCTGGAATCTAGTCATAGCTCTACTATGTGGCTCTAAGGAGGTCACTTCCCTTCTTCAGGCTTCAAGTTCACTATTTGAAAAAGATATTTTAACTAAAGTTTCTGGTATTTCTTCCAATTCCTAGAGTATAAAATTCCTCTTGCCTTTCGACCCTGATCTTTCTAGGCAAAATACTCTTCAGATCACCCTCAAAGAAGACAGAAGAAAAACCGTGACCTCCCAGATAAAAGAAGCAGTCACAGAAGAGAAAGCAAGGACAGGGTGAAGAAGCTGTGGCTGTGAAGCCTTCTAGAAGTCCCTGATCAGAGACCGGAAACACTAATACATCTAATCATTTACTTGTCTGCTGGTGAGAAACAGAGACAGGATTGGACAGGTCACCTCTCTATCGCTTGCTAGTTGCTCAAATCCTTTTCAAAATGAGGAGGGGTGTAAATATTAAAATTTTTAAGTCCCAGATGTGACTCAATAAAAATATGTTGGATATTGAAGCTCACAGATGTTAACGGATGTGCCCAAAGTCAAAGGTCGCTGAAGAGGCACAGCAAGAGCCCGGGTCTGCTGACTCACAGGCCAGCACTTCACCTGACTGCCTTTATGCCAAGGTAACCAGACAGCTTTAGTTTCATCTTCTGGAAGCCACGGACAGTAATGCTGGTAGGAAGCACACTGAAGAAATGGCTTTATAAAAGAAAAAAGTAGATAAATAGTATGCATACAAAAGAAATAAGTACCTCCATGCAACCTTATGTTCCTCTACCTTTGTCCTGGCAAGGTGGAGCGGAAAATGGAGGGTGGGGTAAAGGGGTGGTGGGTATTGAGGAAAAGAGGAGAAAGTAGCCAAAAATTAAGGAAATGTTTCTCAGTTTCCTCACCAACGAGAGCTCTTGGCATGATTGCTTCATTCATGGACTCCTATCCACAAATTACCTATCCCCAAAAAATTGCAGTAAGTAACAACTAGTCCACAGATGAAGCACACAGCACTGAGATTAGCATAACCAACATAACACTTTCCTTCCCTTATTCCTGTTTTTATATTACTCAAAGGCACATATAATTGCCTATAAGAGCTTTTTGATCAGCATATGATATGCCCATTTAAACATTTATTGAGTACTCTTCATATATCAGGGTCTATAATCAGCACAGGGTATAAAGAGATGAATCAGACTTCATCTTTGCTCTCAAGGAGCTCAATTATAAAAGTGGGGGAGATAAGCAATTAAAACACTATGCGCTAAGTGCCATAATAGAAAGAATTGAGGTTATGCTAGGGGTCAGCAACTTCTGTAAAAAGCCAGACAGTAAACATTCAGGATTTATGGGCCATATAGTCTCTGTGGCAGCTACTTAACTATGTCATTGAGCACAAAAACAGCCACAGACAAAACATGAGTGAGAGAACTTAGCTGTGTTCCAACAAAATTTTATTTACAAAAACAGGTGGTGGGTTGGATTTGGCCCTTGGACCATACTTTGCTGACCCCTTTTCTAGAGTTCCATAGGTAGCACACCTGAAGCACATCAGATCGACAGATTTCTGACCCAAAACAAAGAAACCTAATCTTTTCATTAGCAAGTATCCACCCACAGAATGAACCTAAGTAAAGTACTTCTATTAGGCTTTTAAAAAATAATGGGAATAGTTTACCAAGCTCTAGGGACTGGGGTCTCCAGGCTGGGCACAATTGGCCTACAGCAGGTCCAAGAAATTTGGGCTTCAAGCATCAGGCTCTAGTTTGTAACCTGATCAGACAGACAGGTGACCTTTGCTGCTGGCATCATCTGGCATAGAGAAGGATTAAAGGGATTGAGGATAAGGGAGTACAAAATCTTGATGTCCCATATGGCCATAGAATCCTGTCCAGAAAAATCATGTCAGCCAAAATTCACAAATAATTCCTTCAATGAAGCATTTTCTAGGCTGTCTCTCTCTCTCCTTCCTGAGACCTTTTCTACCTTCTCTTAATACATTCCAATCTGGCAAGGTTTCCCAGACCCATCCAGAAATTACCTTAAAAGATCCACCCATTTTAGAAACACATTATTACTGCAATGAAAGAGCCCTGCACTTGGAGTCAGAACACATGTGTCAAAATCCCAGCTTCATCAGTTACAACCATATGATATTGGACAAGTTGTTTAACTTCTCTGAGCCTCCAATATCTCATTTGCAAAATAAGGATAATTAACTCTGCTGCATAGGGTTTTTGTGAGAGTTAAGCAAGACCACATTTGTTAAAACACCTAGCATAGGGCCTGCATGAAGCTGACATTTAATACATTTGTAGTCTCCTTTTTTCCTCCCAGAGCAGCAAGTGAACAGTTCCCATCTTTTGCTAACTTCAGCCACTTTCCCTCTAAGACCATAAAGAATCAAACACAGGCAGTACAGTCCAATCACATTGCTCAGAGGAACGTTCTAGGTGAGCTGGCAAGCAACTCTGACAATAGCCTGTCTTCCCACAGCATTTATATGTCTATCACTGGTAACATTTATCATACTGTGTTGTAGTTGCCTATTTAATTTGTCTTCCCCATAAGGGCTAGGGACTATGTACCCAGCAGCAAGAAAAGACCAGGTTCTTGGTAGATGCTCAGTAAATGTTTTCTGAATGAATAACTAAATATCAGCTCTACAATTATATATGGGATTTCTGTAGGCAGAAAAGAGAAGAATTTTAGGTAGAGAGAATAGTATAGGACCAAGTTTTAAATTTTTTGGTCTCAGGACTCCTTTTTACACTTAAAAATCGAAAATCCCTTGGGCTTCCCTGGTGGCACAGTGGTTGAGAGTCCGCCTGCTGATACAGGGGACACGGGTTCATGCCCCAGTCCAGGAAGATCCCACATGCCACGGAGTGGCTGGGCCCGTGAGCCATGGCCGCTGGGCCTGCGCGTCTGGAGCCCGTGCTCTGCAAAGGAAGAAGCCACAACAGTGAGAGGCCCACGTACCACAAAAAAAAAAAAAATTGAAAATCCCAAACTGTTTGATATTTACTGTATTAGAAATTAAAACATAAATCCTAATATTTAGTAATTAATTCATTTTAAAACAATAAAATCTCATATACATTAATATAAACATGTTTTAATGAAAAACAATTGTTTTCTGCAAAAAAATTCATGAGGAGAGTGGTATTGTTACACATTTTTGTAAATCTCTTTAATGTCTGACTTGATAGAAAACAGCTGTTACAGCCTCATTATATCTGTTTCCACATTCAAGGTGTTGTTTTGATTGAAGATCAAAACATAGATATGCAGTTGGAAAATGCAGGAGTATTTTAATAACCTTTCAGATAATTGTGGTCATTCTTCTCTGATACTTCACCAAAACTCAACAAGTAGGAAGTTTATTAAAGGTTAGTTACAAGGTGAAATCTGAAACTATACAGATGAACTTTTTGTACTCTATTACAATAAAATCCATTGGTCTATCTTGCACTTTGAATGGATCTTTTATCCATAGGTGATTTTTTTTTTTTGGCCGCACAGCATGCGGGATCAGATCTTAGTTCCCTGACAAGGGATTGAACCCACGCCCCCTGCAGTGGAAGCATGGAGTCTTAACCACTGGACCACCAGGTAAGTCCCTACCCATGGGTGATTTTGAAACATGATACACTAATCATTTGGAAACTAGTGATTCGATGAGTTAGGCAGAACTTCCAAATTTGACACAGTTCATTTATACAGTATCAAAATAATCACAATTATTAATATCACCACTGATTTCATCAGAAAAGCTGTAGATCTGGAGAAGCTGTCAAGTTCACAGTGGCAGATACAAGTTTTCCCAAACTCTTATTTTCAATTAAAAGCTGGAATTTTATCACTGGCAACAAATACTATCAGTTGTTTTCCTTAAAGTAGCAGACTCACTTCATTCATTTTCAAGAAGATGTCTGCCAAAAGCATAAGTCTGAGTAATTGCAATTTGTCAGTTATTCTTTCAAGTAAAACTAGTGTTCCCCGAGAAAAGGAGGTAGTTCAGCTTGCAACTCAATCACACAAATGCATTTCCTTGAGATAAACATCAGGCTCCTACATGCAGCAAAAGTGCTTTATGCATACTTCCTGTTTTATCACACAGAATACTAAAGAGACATGTATTCATGGGATACAATTTAATAAAATTAATAAATTTTTACTTCTCTATTAAAAGCTTAAAAAAAACTGAGAGGGCATGGAGGTGAGGAATGCAGTGATTATTGGCACAATTTTGTGCCACTCTTTTGACTCCTGTTAAGGTGCCAGCAGTTTT